TTCCTCTAGTCCGGTGAAGAGGAGCTAAGGAGACCTCCCAAGGAGGCAATGCATATTTTGAGGAGAAAGGGAAATTAAGCAGTTTGTAGCTTTCTCATAGCAGACATGGAGTTATTATGAGCAAATGAAACGTAAGGACTCTGTGCTGTAGCCCAGAAGTCTGCATGAGCTGTTGTGATTATTGATATTTGCTGAACTTTCTTGCAGGGCAAGTCCTTCCAGGAGCTGAGCTGCTTTTGGACTTGGTGAAGCTTCAGAGATAGACAGGAGTCCTTAAACCAGAGATAGAGGAGTTAAAGCAGTTGAGGAGATCAAATACATGAAGAGGATGTTTGAGACTCGCCTCGAATATACAGGAAGAGGCTGTTACAGGCATTCCATGGCCTTGCTAATCATACAGAAATATTTAAAACAACTAAACTGCCTTTCCAGAAATCTCTTGTTGTCATGTTATTGTACTGTTTGTTCTTCAGATGCTGTTGTTTTCCTGCCTAGAAAGAAGATTAAATTATTTTTATAAAAGTAGAAAAGGATCTTCTTGTGGAGAGAAGAATTTCAGAATCTTATTACATTTCCTTGTACATAATATAAAAAAAAATAAGGAACAAAATAAATATTTTATACTTCTGGGAGATTACCTTAAAAAAAAACCAAAACAAACAACAACTCGAAGCCAAAAAAAACACCTGGAAATTGTTTTTAATAGAAGAATTAAGCAGATGTGGACTCCCTTTCTGTGCCTTATTTTCTTGACTAATACTTTAATAAGAATGTTGGTCTCTGGTCTTTGTCAGTTAATTATGTTTAAGTGTAAAACTAAAAATAATGTGCCAAAATTCTGGTAATGTTCCACTTCAATTTAATATGACTTAGTTGAGACAACCAAACCTGTCATTGTGTATTCATACTGAGCTAAATCTGTGAAGAGAAATATTAATTCAGCAGACTTCCAAAAATAAGTAATTCTGAGTAATTTAGTATTATAAATGTGGCATTAGATTGGTAGTTTGAATCAAATTTAATTTAACAAAAAGCAGTGAAGAACTCGGTCCTCCAAACATATTTGATGAAATGCCTGTTTTTCTCTTTAGTTTTACTTTTGTCTTGCACTTCCATACTTAAAATTTAATGTCTGATCTCTAGCTATGATCAAAACTCTTCCTTTGCTGTGCATTTTGAAACATTTTATAGAAGCAATAAGAAGTTGACATTCTGATAAATTATAAATTAAAAATTTTTTTCTTTAACATTTTCATCTACTTAGAGAGTCTTGGTTTAATGTTACTTCGACAGCTAATTCTCAGTGTGTAACTGTCAGAGTTTATACTGAAATGGTAATAGATCCTTAACTAAGAACAGAGCCTTCCTCCAAATCCTGAGAAATGTCAGCTGTGTGCATTAAAAAAGACATAAAAAATAGCATAAGCTGTTTTCCTCAAAAGTTTAAAAAGTGTGACAGTGGGCATTAAAGGTCATTGTATGACTTGGTTGGACATCCCATTAAGTTAATTTTTCACTTCATTTGGATGATTTTATGTTTTTATCATTCTTAAATTGCTCCTTTTCAAATTATCTGTGCTTCAAAGGAAGGCAAAGAGCTTTGCTTAACAGCAGCTTTGTCCCCCTACTGCCTTACTGTGCTGTTAACTGCTGGACTAATTTGCTCATTTAGGGCAAAAGAAAACCTCGTCCAAATTAGACTTAAATTTAAGTGTTTGTTTTTATGAATTTTGTTTAAGGAAGGGGGGGGGGCAGTCTCAGGATGGGAAGGTGGGACAGAGGAAGAACATTTCTAGCTTTTACCTCCTTGTGCCTTAGCCTGGAGAAAGGAACTGAAGGCAGTGATTTGCTTCTGCATTTTGGAAGCTCCTTTTTCATTTGTTCATGTGCACTTTATGATTACAAAGCAGTGAATCAGTTTTGATAACGCACTGCTCTGAAATGGACTGTTCTGGTCCCTTTACAGGTTTTTGCATGGTGCACACGAGGTGTGGAGTTTTTGGTGGTTACTCCCTGGGGAAGGACGCTGCCTGCAGGTTTGCAGAGCAAACATAGTGGCACTGATTAGCTTTTTTCAGAAAGGGATTTCTGGCTCTGTTTGGGTTAGGACAGGGTTTCAAACCTCCCTCAACAAGCCATGGTGATTCCAGTAGTGTTGGAAAGCTGTGTTGTCACAAAGAACCTCTTAAAGCAGATTCCTTGGCTTTCCAATGCTGGTTTTGATATGAACTGTTCCATAGGGAATGGACAGAGCTTAGCAAAAACTATAAGACATCAGCCAAGGCTCTCAAGGCCAGAACATGTTGCTGTGTGTTGGGATGCTGGCAGAGTTCTCTCTTTGCATGGCATTGTTTGCAGAAACTCGTGCAATGAAAGGCTGGTTACAGCTGGTTGCTGTTTGCAGTGCTTTGGGACTTGACCAATTCTCTTCAAATTGAAAGCTTTGATTTAATTTTATTGTGAATGCAGCGTTGTTCCTCTGCTTGGAAATTTGGCTTTTGCCAAACTGCTGATGCTCAGGATAGGGTTGGAACCAGGAACCTTGGAACCAGGCTTTGAAACCTCTCAATTAGGACAGCAGAGTGCATGCAAAGGTGTCTTTGGCTCTGATCACCTGATATGATTTAGTGTTACAGAAAATGAACTTTTCTTTACAGGAGATTATTATCCATGGGCTTTGTTTTCTGTTACATATCTACGCTGCTCCACTTAGAAAGAAAAAAAAATAATAAAAGCTATTTAATGCCAATAAAACATTGTCCAGAACTAAGTGTAAACCTAAAGCTGCCAATTGCTGGAACTGAGATTGGAAGCTGATTGTTGGTTTGAATGGCTGAACAGATGAGGATGATTGTTTTTTATTGGAAATCGGTCAGGAGCTGTCATTACTAGAAATCTGTGGCTTTTATAGTACTCTCTCATTTTACTAGTGGATTAATTTCAGTTCCTGATCTCATTCCTAATAGATTGTGGTATGAATTTCTGGAAAAAAAAAAAAAAAAGATAAAAAAATCAAGGCAGATACACTTTTTTTTGTACATTAAAAAAAAAAAGAATCTAAAGAATCTGTGAAATTATTTCATTGATGCAAGGACCATACACTGGTGTTGGGGACTGGCACTAAACATGACCAGAGAGCTGCCTGATACTAACAATGCTTATGATACATCTGCTGTAATTGGGTGATTTATTAGAAGCTTAGAACTGCATTTTTCAGAGCCTTGTTGACTTGGCATTACATTGCACAGAGATTTTTCCTGTGAAAATCATTGTGTCTGCTTACAGCTTCATTTTGCCAAACAGACTTCAGTGTGCCCAGTCCATTTCCCTGGTGTTCCCTCTGATGCCCAGCCAGTGGTAGCCCTCAGTAAAGAGCTGCTCAAGTTAAGGATCCCTTCAGGCTCAGCTACAAAACTTTGAAATGTTATTTGATGCTGCAACACATTTGAAAATCCAGGTCCATGTTGGCTTAAATTGACTTGTGTCTGCTAACAGAATTTTATTTTCAGATGTTTTAGCCAAGCCATCTCCAGGTTGTGTCTTGGTTTTTTCTCATAATTCCCTTGGCTAGTGAGTGTGATGTCCTGTCCTGAGTGATTCCTTTGCTGCAATCTGTGCCTCTGTTGTCTGATGGGAGAACATTTCCATCTGTTTAACTGTATATTGACTATTAAGACTTGGATGTAACACAAGTGGTGTTAGAGGCTTCAAAATTTTCTGCTGAGGAAGGATAAAGGTTTGTAATTCTGGAAGTGAAATGCAGGAATCTTTCAGCTGGGGTTGCCAAAATTGAATCGTATCGCACCAACTCAGCGTTTAACTAATTTTCACTCAACTGGAAGTGACAGATGATTAAAGAGCAAAAGTGATGCCTTTTTTTTTGATGTGAGTAGTTGCCTGAAAAATATTTTCATCAGAGAAAGGGCTTCTCTAGTCCTAGATCCAGTCAGAATCCAATGATCAAACTCAAGGTGCTTCTCCCTGTTGAGTTTTTGGAGTGGCAGCAGCCTCATTCCAGTGCTGTGTTTCAATACTGTAGACTCTGACCAGGCCTAGTTTCATGTGCCAGCAGCAGTAGAACCTTGACTTGCTTTTTGGGGCACATGATAAATTGTTTTTCTGCAGATTTCACTGCTGCAAAACTAACTTCCCACTTGCTCCCTATGAAACACCCTTTCAAGGTCTGGGTACTCTTCCCCTTGGTGGTGGTGGAGCAAAGGGATGTATGTTCCCAGTTCCTACAGGGATGCCCCTTCCTTTCCTTTGGGAAGTGTGATAGAGATGCTTCTGTTTTAGGGTGGAAAAACCTTTCTGATGGCTCAGGACAAATTTTTATTTTTCTGACTTAGAGAGGTGTGTGAAAGAGCAGTTTCCCCCTGCAGAGGCTGTTGATGTGGCCTCTGGAACTGCCAGACTGGAGTTATCTTGATCCCATTCCATTACCTTTAAGCATTTGTCATTGGATTTGATGAAAAAATAAACCCATTTCTGACAGCTGTGCAGTTGCTAGCGGGTCTGTAGAAATCTCTGATCTCTTTGACAAGAAAAGGTTATCAGTGACATCTGAAGTATTATCCAGAGCTGAGGGATTCTGTTTTTTTCTCCTGTGGCTCTGCAGTCGTGTGTGTGAAGGACTCTGATGTCAGCACGCTGGTAACTCTGTGGGAATACTGCTTTGAGTCACCTGTGATGCACCTGAACATCTACACTCTCAGAGGGTGTTCAGCAGTAGCCAGAGTTGTTGAATTATACAGTCTGCATTTTGATTTATTTCCTCCTTTTCTTACCCTCTTACTGCTAATACCGTGCTCTTACTGGCTTTAGATTTTATGTGAGCTGGACAGGTTGCAGCTCTGTGTTGTTCTAAGGGACTGCAACAGGTTTGGCCCCAGGAAATCCCCTTGTCTGCTTTTGGTGAGACCTGTTCTATGGCTGTGCGTGGAATATAGATTTGCAGCCAATAATTCATTAAAAGTTTTTATTTTGTTTTAATTGTGTAGGACACCTGATGATCTCTCGAGGCAAATTGTGGCCCTGCAGCAGCGGGAGCTTGCCCTGAAAGAGCAGAATTCCACCTTCATGAACAGGTGAGTGCCTCCAGGAGGGGATGCTGGTAGCAAGACCCTACTATGTTAAAGCCCAGAGAAAGGAAAAAGGACTGCAAACTGAGAGATCAGCTCCATGTATTTCCTTGATGTTCCATGGAGCCTTCTGTGCCACCTTCTACTCTTTCCCATGTTGATAAAGGGCTGCTTACTGAAGTCCTTGCAGGAAGAAAAAGATGAGTAACTGTGGGTGATGCAGTGAAGAGTTAATCAAGCGTTATGCTATGAGCTACAGTGTTTGCAAGGGGAAGCGAGTTGCTTTCCCCAGACCATTTCATCTGGAAAGGAAATGTCACAAAGCAAAATGTGCCAAGTATCCATCTGGGTATGGGAAAGGGAGTAGAAGCTTTGAGGACTGTTATTTGACTGCTAAAAGGACCAGGTTGTAGAGATGGTGAAAGAAAAGGATGCTTGCAGTTTTGGCGGCAAAGTGCTGCCAGGCTTTGAGAGGAGCAGTCTGTTTATGGAGTGAGATGTGTGTTTGAAACATGAGGGTGTTTAAACCATTGCCCTCCTGTGGGAGTGAATGTGTAATGGGGAAATGAATTTACCAGAGTTAAACTTTCCGGACTGCACTGGTTCCACAGCCTTTCTGAGCACAGTTCCACAGCATGCTAGACCGTGCTTCTCACCCTCAGTGCACATCTTGCTTCCTTCCCTCTTTAATTCCACACATTAGGAGCCCTCTGTTAAAGCCATTCTTGTTAAAAGCAATACCTCTGTCTTTCAAAAAGACCCTGGACTGTTTGCATTGCAGGCTTGTGGCTGCCTTGGCAGAGCAACAGGAGTGTGGGGAGTTTCTGCCTTTGGTGTGAAAATGCTGAATGCAAAGCAGTCAGTGCCATGTTGAGCTCTGGCTGGGCACACTTAGCTTATTGTGGGCAGCATTTCCTGATGTGTCTCCTGAGGCAGGTGATGATCCTGTTCTGGGCTCCACCTTCCTAATGATGGGCAGGATTCAAGCAGGGTGGCAAAAACATTGGCTGTGCTGCTGCTGTTAATGAAACTGTTTAGTCGCTTGTAAAATGGTTAGGTAAGTGTAAATTCCCAGGAGTGAGCCAGCCAAATTGCTGTGAGGTTTTATCTGTGAAGTTTACAGGGGAGAAAAAAAATACCTCACCAATGTAAAGACATTATGTATAAAAACCACATTATGTATATTAAAAATAAACCAAGCAAATCCTCAACCCACAACTGATTAAATGATAAAATAAAAGAATGATGGTAGTGTTTGAGTTACAGATTTGGATTTTTTTTTTAGGTTCCTTTTCACAGCCTCTCAGAGAATTCTTTTTCTAAATTTATTAATGGCCAAGGGGAAATGTCTGTTGAAAAAGCAGCTTTTTGGTAGTGCCTGTTCATCTAGATATAATTGTGCCAATTTAGTTTAAAAATAAAAACATGATTAAAATTACTTTTTGATTTCAAGTTAAATGGGCTGTAAAGCTGTTAAAATTCTAACATTTTCACACAGCAATGCTGTATGTCAGTTCTGAAACTGATAATTTTGACTTTCTTCTATCACATACCTTATTCTGTCTTAAAAAGAAGGCAATAAGATAAATTTTTAAAAACCTTTTATTACAAGTGATTTGAAAGTTCTCAGCAGAAGATTTTGAGTTTTTGGAAAAAAACCTTGTTAAGGAAGCAAGCCTAATTTTCTCCTTTCCATAAATATTTTCCAGATTTAGCTGATGGTCTTCTCTTTTATTTGTTTCATAATTGTGTTCAGAATTGTCTGTGTATTAGAGTAATTTAATATGTGATCATGCCTCCCTCTAGTGATGAAGCCCAGGACTTATTCAGCTTTCTGGGTTTTTTTTGTTTGGTTTTTTTTTTTATCCACAGGTTCTTTTGCCCTTAGTTGAAATATGTTGTCTTTGGTGCTGGTAGTGCAATGTTTGATTTATATCATCAGTGGTTATGTGTATATAGAGCAATGTGCAGTGTAAACACCACCAAATTTGTGTCTACCCTAAGAACTTTCATTTTTCTCCATTAAAATTAATGTATTGGCAGATACTTAAGAAAACCTCATCACGAGTTGGCATCTGAATTTATTTTTATGGAAATGAAGGAAAGAATTACAGATAATCCTGGCTCACCTGTTGCTACAGTACAAAACTGTTTAGTAGATGAGATTTTTGAGTGTCATGGCATAAAGAGCATTATACGGCTCCCTTCCCTACCTGGCAGATGTTGAGTCTTTGTGCAGTGACTGTGTGTGTGCTCATCACCAAGCTTTTAAACACAGGCAGGATTGTCTGGAAGGTGTGTGTGAGGGGGGTTTGCATGCTGATTATTCTCTCTTTGTCTTTACACTGCAATCATCTCGGTTTGTATTCCCAGTGATGATTTCCCACACTGTTCAGTGACTTGCCAGCTGCTATTTCTGCTTCCAGTGTCCTGTACTTGATCTAGAGTAGGGAGTTACGGTAGATAAACACCTTTTCCAAATGGCTTCACTAAACAGAAAGTTTATTTTTTTCTCATTTTTGCATTCTTGACCTGCTTTCCATTTATTACTGTGCATTTCTTAGAGCCAGTGTTTGTGTAATAAAAAGGCAAGAGAGATGATCCCACCACAAAGAGACAACATGTCTATAAACACATTTTTGCAGTGGTGTTTCCTTGTGTGGGGATCTGCACTGCAATCTGTGTTTTGTGTAGCCTGTGCAATTGCCAGTGTCTCCAGGCCTCCCAGAGATCAAATGATGATGCATATCCTATTTGCTCCATCACTCACATTGGACACTTTTAGACACAGAACCACAGGACTGCATTTCCTGAGCAGTAGGTTGAAATCAATTTCTTTTAACAGTGATTGTTTACACGTCTGAGTTGTGTCGACTCCCTCAGAGCTTGCTATTTTTGCTAAGGGGAGAAAACCTTCTCGTGGTGCCAGCATGGGGCAAGAGGAGGGTCATTTTAGCACTGAACACATGGGCAGCAACTCACTTCTCTTGGCAACTTCAGGATGGCTGAGTAATGCAGCTGAAAGTGCCATTAATCGTGCGTGATGGACTCTCAGTGCTGCTTTGGAGCGTGTTGCTAGAAGTCGTATAAATAGAGTAAATTACACTTTCAGCAGCAGCAGCAGGAAGTGTCCTGGAGCTTTCTAACTGCAGAGCAAAGATAACAATCCAAAGGTTCAAAAGCTCAAAAGAAGATTGTTCAGGGCCACTTTGTACCTGTTCTGCTATTTAGGGAAAGGTGATGGAAGGAAGGTGTTTAATTAGTGGGTCAGTTTTAATCATGCGGCCACCATTAATTAAAGCCCATTTTCCCCCCAGCTGTGACTGCTGTAGGTGTGGTGCACTGAAATGTGTTGGTGGTTATAGGTTGGAATATGGAAAGTCAGCCAAGTGGTTCATAAGCTTTTCTCTTATGGAGGAATGATGTAGCAGTTATATTTTTTTTTTTTAAGTGAGAAAATCTGTGTATTTATTGGGCCTGCTACCTATCTACATATTTGGTCTCTCTAGAGAGATTTCCTCAAACAATCCTGGCAAATCATTTTAGAATTTGAAATGTTGGCCTATAGATGGCTCATGTGAAGGAATAATGCTGATTTATGGCTTGAGCTTCGCTGCATTTCTGAAAGACAGGCTTTGAAAATGGTTACTTGTGGCTCCTCCCAGAATGATCATTTCTAATTTTGCTTTTGTGGTCTAAGTGCAGGACTGACTTTGGACCTTGAGATGTCTTGTGGAAGGTCAGATCAAAAAAACACATAGGTGAAGCTGGTTCTGGGCAGGATGAAGGACAGAAGGGAAAATGGAAGAACTATCCTTGGTTCTGATGTTGAGATCCTGGAGCTGATGGCTTATTCCCATCACCTCATGTCAGAAACCCTGCCATGTGTTTTGACATATTGTTTCATATGGGAAAAGGGACACAGAGAATGTGTTTGAAAAAGGATTTTCCTACTGCAAGTGCTTATGGAGTTTTGTTTAGAGACATGGTTGTTTACCACGTTTATTCATATAAATAATGTAAAACTGATTTACCCAAACAACCTGCTGTGTGTGTTGTTGCTTAAAATGAAATAAAACCCCAAACCATTGAAGAACAGCAAACAGTAGATTGCAAACTGAACAGAAAATGCTTTAAACTTGGGCAGCAGGGATTCTTTTTTTTACAAAAAAAAATAAAAAGAATGAGTGATGATAAGCCCAGAACTGTCCATCTTTGTAAGTGCTGTTAGCTTAGAAGTGTTGTAAATCTATTGCCCAACCTCTTTTTTCCTTGGATGTCCCAATGAATGTCAGTCACAAAAACAAATAGAGCCTGTCAGACTTCTTCCCCTAATCTTCTGGAAAGTTGGACAGAAGTTTAATTACAGTGAAGTGTCTTTTATCTGACAGAGAGAGAAGTGCTAGCTTTTTAATAGGCTTTATGAGTTATTTTTTGATCAAAAGAAGCACTTAATGTCTAATATAGGATTAGGTGGGGATTTTTTTTCTTCCTTTGTTCATTTATATGGCACATTGCACCTTGATTTATACATGGAGGTGTCTGTGTACCTAATATCAGACAAATGTTTATTCACAGTGCTTCAGGACAATATTAACTGCTGGCAGGTTCTGCATTCATTTTACTGTAGATGCTGCTTTTCCTTTTCTCCAAAATTGATCTTTCCTGCACTTCTGTACCAGAAGGTCCATGATAGTGTCTCATTAAGTGACCAATCTACATATTCATACAGTAAACTTCTAGAGCAACATCTGGTTATTCATGACTCTAATTAGGTAGATACAAAGCTTTTCTATTTTTTTTCTATCACATAGTTAGCAGAAAATAGGAAAGCAAAAAATAATTTAGTCAAGACATTGACTTATACTTCCAATTTGAAAAACATGGGATTTTGCCCAGACCTTTGCTTTTCATGATTGTGCCATTTTTAGTCTGATTTCCTGAGGAAGTGAGGCTTATTACTGTGCTTTGTGTGTGTATGTAGATGAGATTTGTCTATGCCTACC